TTAATTCTTTAAATTGTATAATAGAAAACAAAAAAATACTGACAGAGTGCCACAACAGATTAGTTACCCGGGATATTAAGTCTGTAATTGGAAAGGTATGTCTCGTGGGAGATTTGTTCATTCACAAAATGTTCTTGGCAATTTGTAGGTATTTTGTGTAGTTGTGATGCTGATAGTAAGGACACGTGTTTCTTCAGTGACTAAAGCTGTTATATATTCTATGGTCTAATTAAAACTTGCAATGCTAGTTTCTTCTGAGCTTGATTGATCTGTTTATGCCTGTTGGCATTGGATCCCAGGGCTTTTCAGATGGAGAATGAAAGATTGCTAAGTAGCTGGGAGACTTGAGTTCAATCTCTCATTTTCTTTTCCTTTCTTACAGACTTTCAGTATGAGTTTTGAGTTGGTCACTGGCATCTTTGTATCTGATTTCTCCAACTACAGAAGTAGAGCTCCCCAGTCTTTTGGGGATCTTCTGAGGCTTAATGGCTAATACAAAGGGCTGTAGAGGAAGCAGGTAGGAAAGGGTATTGTAGAATGCCTTAAATGGAAGGGGGGGGGTGTTTGTTGTTTGTTCTTCTCCAAATAAAGCATGCACACAAAAAAGTCTGTCTTTCATCACTATCACTGGTGTTCTGGATGCCACTAGCACAGTTGTCCCTGAGTAGCAAATAAGGCAGAGGTGTTTGTACTTCCCTATGGAACACTTACTTTCTTGTTTGCAGTAATTGAAAACGGACAGGGACCTTTTCTTATCCAGGTGTCTTGTAGTGGGTTGGTTGAGAGTGAAAGGGAGGACAGAGAAGAAAAAACAAACAGGTGGTAGAAAATCCAGAGCTTTTATTGTAGTGGATTTACTGGTCATAAAGTTTTGAACCTGGGAATAGGTTGTATTAGCAGTGTAGTGAAACGTTGGTAAGTGCTCTTTTCCCCCAGAGTCAAAATGCTTAGATATCTCTTTTACTGTCTGACTTCTATTTTTTTGTAGGAGATCACTGGACTGAACAGCCTGTACTTACTCTCCTTAAAATAATTAATATTATAACACTTGTTTTCCAGTTATTGTTCAGCTGCTTAAAAGCAGGAGCATCAGAACACTGATCAAGTATGATTTAATTTTTCCATCTTTATAGACGTTCCTAGATGAACTTGGCTTTATTTCTCAGAAGAGGTACATGTTACTGCTTTGTTGAAGGACTTCAGTCAAAAGCAGCTTTGTCCGTGAGGTGGAGCTGACAATGTCTTACCTTATAATGCAATGTTTTGGAATTTTTTTCTATTATTGAAGAGTGGGGAGGAGAAAGAAACAGTCTGGCCTGTGCAAGTTAGTGCTGTGCATACAGTTGGGCATAAACTGGTCAAATGATTCAGCAGGTAGCTGTGGACAGCTTGAAAATGTAGATGCTGAAGCATTTTCTGTGGATTTGGGATATTTCTAAAAGGCAGAGAAGTCTGCCTGTGCCTTTAAGACAATGGCTCTGTTCTCATATAAAAAACTACATGACTGTACCTAAACTAGATGATTTAGGATTGACTTTCCAGATAGCTAGTTGTTGCATCTCCCCTGTGAGCAGTATTCAGTCTGGAGCTAGGGCAGACTGAAACCTCTTGGGGTTAAATATGACAGGTTTTGCCTTAGGATCTTTTCAGTGTATTTCAACTTTAAAATCTACCTCCAATGTGTTTTATCTATTATATATTTGTATTTTCCTGGTTGCTTGTCTTCATAAAAGTCAAGGGTGGGAGAAATAATACACTTATTTCATAACCCAGAGGGGTTGAGGGCCAACTAGTACTTCAATCTTAATTCAAAGTTCTTAATTACCTTTTGATCATAACCAACTGATGGCTAGTTCATAGTGTATGAAAACAAGTAGGCTGTTTGTTTGTTTTAAAATGGATGATATAGAAGTTCTGGAGAAGGGGAAATTGGCACTATCCTGGCTGGAAGACAGGTTGTGAATATAACTTTAAGGCTAGCTCCTTGGGCAGAGGCTGTAGCAGAAGATACTTTCTGCTGGAAGCTGTATTTTTCCTCTTCTGATAGAATTCCTGTGTACTAGGCAGAAGATGCAAATAAGCTCTCTTTGGCCTTGTGTTTGGTTTTGGAGCTCAGATTTGTCTGCGTTTCTCTGATGTGATCTCAGCTCTCTGCTTGTGCCTTCAGCATTTTCACAGTTCTTTGCTCCTCCATAAAGAAAGCTCATTTAATTGTTATGAACACGTTTAGTATGTGTGAAGCTATGCTACTTTACACTGATGTGTCATGTTGTTCCAGACAGTCTCGTAAGAAAAACAGGACACACAGCTGCGGACAGACCCAGACGCAGACCAATATGATCAATGCTGAAGCCACTTTATTAAGATACTTAAGCCATTATATACTTTTTACTACAACGTGGGCTAGCTCTGCGGCTTGTGCTCATTGGTTTCTAGACTTATACACACAAACTATTATTGGTTTAAATGCAGCTGTAACTTATTATCTACACTTTGTTACTATTTCTGCCGAGTCAGTCTTTTAATTAATACACATTCCGCATCTGTTGGGGAGTAGCAGTAGTTTCAGATTTCCTCCTTCATGTTGACCTTCAGTACGTGTCCGTTGTTTTCCAAGAAGTTTCCCACACACAGCAAAACTACCAACATCTTACTGGGCACAGGCAATGTACCGATTTTAATGATTTGCCACCTTCATTGGCATAAAAATAACAATCCTGTTTCCTGGTGTTCAGGACAGCCTGACCTTACTAGAGGTTGTTTTGTAGGACAAGCTATGGCAGTTTATCAGGCACTAAACAGTTTTTCTGTCTCTGGGGCTGCTGGAGAACTGTTGCAGAAGCTTGTGTCTGGAATAACTTCATTTGGGGGGTGGAAAGAAGGCAAGAGCATGCACACATACCCAACTGTATCTATCTGACTGTCTTTAAAGCCTCTTGGGGCGGGGAGTTCTTCGGGACAGAAGGAAGGAGAATAAAGTTATAAGTAAAGGTTGCAGTTTTTTCCTCAGATGTGGAGATGCGAGTTTAATGCTGTGTGCTTAAACAGGCTTTACCTGCCTGTTACCATATATGCTTTACAAACTCACTGCAGGGGAGAAGAGCCCATCTCCTTCGACTGTTCACTTGGGAACAAAAAGGAGGTGGAATATTTCAAACTACTGTTCCAATTGATTAAAGGATGCTTAACTATTATGAAGTTCTGAGTAATTTTGAAATTAATCGATAATAGATGCTAGATGTTTTTAGAGTTACTTATAAACAGTGACCTTCTTGCTTAACCTTATCTGAGAAGTACTTTCCTGAGCAACCTTGAGTTTCTCTTTGGAAATCTTCTAATGCTGAACTCTGGCTTCCACCCCCCGCCCCCAATTTATTTCCTCTTTATTACTCTGTGCATGGAATTCACATACCTTTCCTTCACATTTTCTTCTCTGACATGAGATGGTAACTTGTCACGGTGTGGTCCAAACAGTAATGGAGTCTGACAATGCATTATAACAAACAAAAAAACCCAACTTTGAGGCAGTAGGAAAGATGCACAACAACGTGCCCATATGGCATCTCGACTGATCACCAATAGCAAGCACAGGATCATAAGTGATGCCATAGATCCGGTGGACTGCCAGGGACACTTGGTGTCTGGGTGTCCTGGTTCCAGCAGGGATGAGGTTAATTTCCTCAAGGAGCCGGCAGGGGGCAGGTATTCCATACCACGTGACCCATGCCCGACCTATAAGAGGCGCTAGCCGGGGCAAGGAGAGCAGTCGCCACTTGGGGGTGGGCTGCGGCGGCACAGGTCTGGTCCGTGCGCTTCGTGGCGGTACTGTAATCGCATTTCCATCTTTCATTTTGCTGTTCTGTTGAATTCCATTATTTTAACCCATGAGTTTTGCCCTGTCGATTTCTTTTTCCACGGCTGTGGGAGTTGCGCGAGCGGCTGCGTGGTTCTTTGTTGCTGGATGAGGCCAAACCACGACAGTCCTTTTTGGCGCCTAACATGGGGCCTGAAAGGCTGCAATAACAAATTTCTTGTA